CTGAACTCAGCTTCCATCTCTGCAACTTATTATCTGTGTGATCTTATACAAGATTCTTAACTTCACTGAGCCCTCAGCTGCTCTCTTTCCTTACTTTCCTCTTCCTTGAAGGGTCACTGAGTTGCCATGAAGCTTGTACCCTCCAGAAGCCAGAGATCTAGGCTTTATTTCGGAATTCCCAAGTCATCACAGAGGTGCAGAGCAGGGGATGAAAGAGAGAGACCTTAGGATCTGTCTGATGTCAAGCCTTGCCCCTGTATCAAGGGTGGGAAGGGCTCCAGATATAGTGGGAAAACCAGATGTCATTTCCAGAACCAGCCCAGAGGGCATTACCAAGTCACTTGTTCTTTCAGGGAGGCTTTGGTATGAATTGCATTTTGTTGAACTTTAATCCTTTGAATAGGCAATCTGTGTTTGAGACCTTTGGTAAACACAACATTGTATTAACAGGGTTGCATTATTGGACCATTTTGACAGGCTGGAAAGTGAAAAAGCCAACACAGCAAGGAAGACCAAGGCTTCCTGTTCATTAGTCATGCTGGATATTGTTGTCATTGCTTCCAAAATGGCCGTGTTTGTTTTACATCTCCATATATGTGAAATGGAACTGATGTCTGTCCACTGGGCTTTTAAGAGCTCTAATCTTATTAGTTCCCTGTCAAAACCCATTAGTGGTTCTGTGATCAATACCATATTATATATTTTTCTTCTTGTCTTTTAAGTCTCTTTACAATTCGTAAATAGCATTTATGGTGAATATGCAGTCTTGTTACAGTTTCTAGATTTATCCCAGGAATGCAAATATGGTTTAGTTTTAGAAAATATATTATCATTTGCCGCATTAACAGGTTAAAGGGAAAAATCGATATGATCAGCTCATTAGATTCCAAAAAATATATGATAAAAAAAATATGAGAAAATTTGGTATAACTTTATGATTAAAAAAAACAATAAAATGCAAGGAAGTTTTCTTAATTTGATGCAGGTCATCTATAAAAATTTTATAACAAACATGCACAGTAGGGAAACATTAGAAACATCGTCTTTAAAATCAGGAAGATGACAAGAATATTTATTAAAACATTTTGTATTCAAAATTGTGTGGCCATCCTAGCCAGTGCAAAATTTCTTTAAAAAAAAGTTAGGGGCGCCTGGGTGGCTCAGTTGGTTAAGCATCTGACTTCGACTCAGGTCATGATGTCACAGTTCGTGGGTTCGAGCCCCATGTCGGGCTCTGTGCTGACAGCTAGCTCAGAGCCTGGAGCCTGCTTCAGATTCTGTATCTCCCTCTCTCTCTGACCCTCCCCTTCTCATGTGCTCTCTCTCTCTCTCTCTCTCTCTCTCTTTCTCAGAAATAAATAAAACATTAAAAAAATTTTTTAAATTAGACATCTAAGAATTGGAAAGGAGCGGGGGAAAAACCCTCTGGCATTATATGCAGGTTAATTTGATGATTTACATAGAACACTTAATCGACTCTTCAGACAAATATAAAAATAATAGCAACATTTTGTACAGTGGCTGGATAGTAATTTGCAAAAATCAATTGCATTTTATAAACCATAGCAATCAGAGTGTTGCTGTAAAACAGCAACAACAGCCTTAAAGTACCTAGTAAGTATAATCAAATGTATAAGGTCTTCATATGAAAAATATAAAAGTTTGACATTAAAGAATATTAAATAAATGGAGAGAGATATTCCATGTTCATGGATCAGAAGACATAATATCAGAAAGATGTCAGTTCTATCCTAATTGATCTATAAATTCATTGCAGTTGTTATCAAAATCTCATCAGAATGTTTCATGGAACATAACAAGCTGATACTAAAATTTGTGTGAAAGAATAAAGAAAGTAGAATAGTCAAGACACATTTGAAGCATGATAATTGGATTGAGGATTTGCCCTTTCAGGTATCAAGCCTTATAATGAAGTTACAAAAACAATGTGGTACTGGCATAGGGACGGATAAACCAACCAGTGGAATAGCTTAGAGAGTCCAGGAATAGATCCTTATATTTGGAACTTTGACATGCCCTAAGGTGGCATGACAGGTAAGTGGGAAAAATAATTATTCAATAAGAGGAATATATGGAAAAAATTAGATCCGTATTTCACACCAGGACATAAAAATCAACATCAGATAAAATAAGGGCCATTAATCAAAAGCAAAAATGTAGGGCACCTGGGTGGATTAAGCATCAGACTCTTGATCCTCTGCTCAGGTCGTGATCTCACCGTTCATGAGATCAAGCCCCATGTTGGGCTACATGCTGACAGTGAGGAGTCTGCTTGGGATCCTCTGTCTCCCTCTCTCTCTGCCTTTCCCCTGCTCACATGTTCTCTCTGTCAAATAAATGAACTTTAAAAAAAAAAAAGCAAAAATGTTAAACTTTTAGGAGAAAATAGAAATTAAGATCTTCCGGCCTTGGATTAGGGAAAAACACTTACTTTAAAAGAAATGATGCTTGTGGGATTTCTTACATGAAGTTTTTTGCCTTTACTGGGTGCTTTCTACCTTGATCATATCTTCTGTTTTGAGATTTTCTTTACCTCCTTAAACATATAACTCTAATCATCTGCATTTGTGTATCTGTTGATATTTATCTTCTGTGCCTGATCATCTTACTTCTTTGCCCCCAGAATCCAAACAGTCCCAAAAGTCAGATGACTGTGGCCTGCATTTGCATGCTGAACTGTAGGTGGAGAATGGAAACCAAGGGAGGAGTCTGTGATGGTCAGACAAAGTGTAGGTCTTGCATGGTGGTTGTAATTTGAATGTTCCACTAGTTGCAGATTTCACTGTAAGATCTGTAAAGATTATCAGGTTCCTGGAACATTCCCTTAACCAAAGAAGCCCCTTTCTCAAGCCAGTTTGCAAGTCTAGATGGTCGCATGGAAGGAGGCACACCAGGCAAAGGCAAAGCAAACTGTCTTTAAACTAGAGTTGGAGAGTTGGAGTGAACTGTGAGTCTCCAAATCTACACAGGTGGTGAAGGTCCTGTTTTCCTACCAGAACAGAGGTAACTCCAAGGTCCTGGACTTGACCTTGGAGCTGAAAAGTTTCATTAGTCTGGAAAAAGAAGTCTTTTTTTTTTTTTTTTTTTTTTTTTTTTACCATTCTTTAAAACAATTTTTTTAATGGTTATTGATTTAGAGAGAGAAAGAGAGAGAGAGAGAGAGATTGAGCAGGGGAGGGGCAGAGAGAGATGGAGACACAGAATCCAAAGCAGGCTCTAGGCTCTGAGCTGTCAGCACAGAGCCCCAAGCAGAGCTTGAACCCACTAGCTGTGAGATCATGACCTGGGCTAAAGTCAGATGCTTACCTGACTGAGCCACCCAGACACTCCTTGACCATTCTTTTGATAATTTTTCCCTCCCCCCCCATAAAGCTGAGAGATATTGTTTAGGAGTAGTTGGGCATCTACTTGGCATCCATAGGGGTATGAGTGTTTTGTCTTATGTATAGAGGACTTTGAGGTTATGAATGACTCTTGCGAGTTACCACTTGCTCACTTAGCCCACATGTATAGCTCTTCTTTTCATAATGATGATGGTCCTTTGTCTTTCCACAGGATTATGGTTTCCCAAAAGTTTTCACTCCTGTGCCATTGTTCTCCATACCACACCCAATGTGATCTTTCTCAAGGGCAGATGTGTTTACCTGTTCCTTTCCCACTTCCCTCTGCCTTTAATGGCTTCTCATTGTCTCACAGTAAAATCCAAGCTCCTTAGCTTTGCTAATATAACACTTACAGGACTTCCGAGTCTTTTAGCCTTTGCTCTTGAGACTCTCCCAGTTTTACTGAGCTCACTTGACTCTTTTCCTCCAGGTCTTTGTGTATGTACTCTTTCGTTTGCTGGGATATTCTCCATCTTCCTTTTTGCCTTGCTTATTTTTGCTCTTTCTTGGAATTTCCACTCTCCCTCAGCTTGTGGCAAGTTTCCCCTCATCCTGCCAGCCCTGGAGTAGTTGCCTATCCTCTGCACTTCTGTCCAGTCATGATACATAAGATATGATGTTTAGGTGTTTACTGGCTTTCTCCTACACTGAACTCTAAGCTTTGTAAGAATAATGTCTGTGCCGGGGCGCCTGGGTGGCTTAGTCGGTTAAGCGTCCGACTTTCGCTTGGGTCATGATCTCGCGGTTCGTGGGTTCGGGCCCCGCGTCGGGCTCTGTGCTGACTGCCAGCTCAGAGCCTGGAGCCTGTTTCAGTCTGTGACTCCCTCTCTCTCTGACCCTCCCCTGCTCACACTGTCTCTCTCTCTCTCCTAGAAATAAATAAAAACATTAAAAAAAAAAAAAAAAAAGAATAATGTCTGTGCCTTGTTTGTTGTTGTGTTTCCCTTAAAATTTTTTAACATTTATTTGTGTGTGTCTGTGTGTGAGAGAGAAAGAGAGAGAAAGAGAGGGAGGGAGGGCGCAGCAAAAGTGGGGGAGAAGAGAGAGAAGGAGACACAGAATCCCAAGCAGTCTCCAGGCTCTGAGCTATCAGTACAGAGCTCCATGCCAGGCCGAACTCACAAACCATGAGATCATGACCTTAGCTTAAGTGGGATGCTTAAATGACTGAGCCACCTAGGTGCCACTCCCTTAAATTTAAATACAGTGCCTGGCACACGGTAGGCTCCATTAAATTTTTGTTGAGCGAACAAATTTCCCTGTGAAGTGAGTGGTCACTTAGTCTCCCTCCGTCTCCTCCACCCCTTTAGGGCATGGGGGATGGAGGATAAGGATTTTCCACAAAGTTGTATAGGTGCTGGTGGTAGCTGAGCGAGGACCCAGCTTGCACCAGAGGAATGTACTTTGCACTGGAAGGTCCTGCAGGAATGGCTGACCCAATGCATTTTCTTTCCATTCTGGGTCTGTGATGAAGCAAACAAGCTGACAAAGACACTTCTGGTGGGTGGACAAATGCACAGAGTTGTGGCAGCTGGGTGAATGGATTTACCAACATGTGATCCTCTCTTTCCCCTCCCACTCTCTTCCTGTTCACAGCCTCAAGCTGGGCTCCCAGCCCCCGGTTCAGGCTGGGGATGATGAGAAGAACCAGAGGATCATCACTGTCAACTCTGCCCACATGGGGAAGGCGTTCAAGGTGATGAATGAACTGCGGAGGTACTTTTCCCATTTTGCCTGTGCCCTTTTGGAAAGAGCTTGTTGAGTGAGCGTCATCAGGGACTGAGAACAGAAGTCACCACCACCTAGTGAATTCTGACTCTTCCCCCACCTACTCTTAGTCACTTGGCTTCTCCTTTAAACTGCAGTCAAGGCAGATTGGCTTTCAGAAAGTACTCTCTTTCCCTTGTATTTATTTAACACTTTTCATTGTACTCCTCAATCACAGGGGAATAATTTTTTTTATGGTTATAGCAGTTCTGTTCATAAACTTGGTTTCTAACCAAACCAGCTGCTTAACGACTAATAATAGACTGATTGCATTACCTACACATAGTTGCAGATTAAAGATTGTGGGTACTACACATTTTCTTTTGGCCTCCCTCCCTCATTCCTTGGTCTGAACTTAGCTTGTTAAGAAAGCTATGTAGGTGGAAAAATATCTAGCTTCTTCAATGTAATTTAACTGTGTAAAGAAATAAATGAAATGCAAATGTGCTCATCCCCTGTAGGCTGGCTAATGGTGAGTGGTATGCAGGCTATTCATAAGGCCGATATGTACATTTGGTGAGCTTGCTGCAAAACAGATTTGGGACACTGAACATGTTTTTCTCTACAAAGGCTGTACACCCAGTCTCTTCCCCACTGGAGAATTCAGAAGGTTCCTTTGCCCAAGGCATTATTTACAGCATCCTTCACCCTATTGTGAGCTATAATTGCTAATCTCCTCTTTTCTCTCTTGTTTGTGAGCTCCCTGAGGGCAGGGGCACCTTCTGAATTGTTTTGATTTCTAGCATCTGGTACTTCATGGGAGCTTCAAGGCATTTACCAAAGATGCCCAGAGGCACTGACTAGGCTCTAGGATGGGTAGCATAAAAAAATGTAAATAGTTAAATGAAAATAATTTTCATATAATAAAAAATAGGTGTTATGAATGAGGAATGCATCAGTTGCCTGTCAGTTGATAGAAGTGCAATAATCATTTGTTTCTGAAAGGGTACTATGAAAGCAAATATGTCATACTCCAACTTTGGAGAACACTTTCTTTTCTTTTTTTTTTTGGATAACACTTTCTAAAGGGATAATGCTTGAGCTGAAGTTTGAAAGACAAGTTAAAAGTTAAAGAAATGAAAAGTGGTAGGATTGGGGCAAGTCTTCCAGGCAGAGAAAAATAGCATAAGTAAAACAAGCACACATAGCTAACGATATGTTTGTTGAGTAGGGGGCTCAACTACTTTTATTTATTTATTTTTTTTAGTTTATTTATTTTGAGAGAGAGAGTGAACATGAGCATAAAAGGGGCAGAGAGAGAGGGAGAGAGAGAATCTCAAGCAGGCATTGTATGGTCAGTGCAGAGCCTGACACGGCACCCAATCCCATGAACTGTGGTATCATGACCTGAACCAAAATCAAGAGTCAGATGCCTAACCGACTGAACTACCCAGGCACTCCAGGGGTTGAACTACTTTTAAACAAAAATCCTATATTATTCTTTATTTGTTTCCTCATTTCCCTTTTCTGTAGGGCCCAGTCTTTGGTGTTCAAAACCAAGTTAAATTAGATTAGTCTTATGAACTACTGCTCAACTTTTATTAGGCCTCCTGACAGATTTCGTGGAAGCTCTGCCCACAAGTTGTTTTAGGCAGTGGGCAGTGCTGATGTTCATGCTTGTGGGTCTGATTCTCTTGTCTCTAAGGAATTTGTGTTGTTTTCCGTAGATAGTAGTGACTTTCCTCATTTAGTTCTCTTCATTATGGCTTGTGTCCTCTGTCTGATTTAAGACTCCAGGCCTCCAGGTAAACAACCTAACTTTACATTTCAAACAATTAGAAAAAACAAACTAAGCCTGAAGTTATCAGAAGGAATGAAATAAATATTGAAGATTAGAGCATAGATAAATGAAACTAGAAAGACAACAGAACAAAAATCATTGAAAGTGAGAACTGGCTTTTGAAAAGGTAAACATAACTTTAGCTAGACTAACCAAGGAAAAAATGAGAGAAGATGCAAAATTATAAATGACAGAGGAGACATTACAGCTTGATACCGTGGAAATACAAATGATTATAAGAGGCCACTATGAACAATTCTATGCCAACAAATTTTATAATCTAGAAGAAATGGATAAAATCCTTGAAATACACCATTTACCAAGCCTGAATCATTAAGAAATAGAAAATCTGAACAGGGGCGCCTGGGTGGCTTAGTCGGTTAAGCGTCCGACTTTCACTTAGGTCATGATCTCGCGGTTCGTGGGTTCGAGCCCCGCGTCGGGCTCTGTGCTGACTGACAGCTCAG